CACCCGGTTTCTCGCCGGTCACTCGTGTCCCCGGGGGCCGCGGGGCCGGGCTGTGCGACGGGGTGGTACCCAGGCGGCCGCGGCCGGGGAAGGAGGCGGCTGCGGGCCAGAAGAGCTCGGTGCTTTTGTCTGTCTGGGTGCTGCTGTCTTTGCTGCCCGTTTTCGCGTGGGAGGCCGCCGGCACCGGGACGGGCATGCACGACAAGGAGGGCAGTGGAGGAGGCAGCGAGGAGCTCGATGGGTGGTCGTGGTGCTCCTTCCCCAAAAGTAGCCCTGAAAACACATGGAAGTCAGTCACATCTTGGCTTGAACGTAAGTGCTGTTCCCCTGTCCCACTCAAGAGCTACAAGGCTTTGATCTGAATATGTCTCCAGCCCTCAGCTCGGCTTAGCTTTTCCCCTTGACACCTCCTGTTGCTCTTCTCCTGACATCCGCGTGGCCTTCTACAGAAACAGCCTTTTGAGAGCAGCTGCATTTTCCTCCATCCCCTTCTGCACCCCCATCCCAGTGGTACCTACCCCTGGCACAGCCTTGCACGCCTTCCCAGTGCTCATCCCGTGCGGCCCCATGCCACAGTCCTGCAGCCATTTTCCCATTTAGCTGCCGCATCACATCACGCACTCCTATCCAAAGGGACGCTCACCCTCTTGTTTAACCAGGATTTCTTTCTAGCCCGTAATCATTATTCGGTGGTGACTGATGGTTTGGCGGTTGGTCTTCATGATCTTAGAGGTCTTTTCCAACCTTAATGATTCTATGATTTAGTCCCACGAAATTACAAATATCATCTGCATGTGTCTGGGAAGATTTCCCCCAACTATGGCTTGCTATAATCAGTACAGAACAATGAAGAGGATTAAAAATGTAATCAAGATATAACGCAAGGTTAAAAAATGACTGATTTTTTACTTCAGTACAAGAACAAATGTTCTTCCCATGGGAAGTCCTCTGGAAATGTGGCTGTGGCTGGGACACGTGCTAAGCTCAAGCAGGAGGTTTAGGACAAAGCAATGGATGAGCCAAAACTTCACCAGAAACTGAGCTCACCTATGCTTCCCTTCCAGATCTTCTCTTCCTTCTTCTCCTCAGCTATCTGGTTGCTGGTGAGCGAGGTCTGGCGCGAATGCGTGCCTGTTGCAGCGGCGATGGAGGGGACGGACCGAGCCGGTCGCAGGCTGCTGCTGTCGGCTTTCCCAAGGTCCTTCCGTGACCGTTGCTGAAGGACCTTGATCATGGCATCCTTCTCAATTATTTTTGCATGGAGATTCTTTATTCTGCCAAAATATGAACGCTCTGCTTACTGGAATGGAAGAAGCATTTATACAGGCAGCTCTCCCCACCCTGGGGCAGCAGGACGGGTCCTGGGTACGTGCCCTGATCTTCTGTCCCCTCCAGTTTTGAGTGACTCAGACAAGGCAGCTCCCACCAGTTCCTCTGAGGATAACCACGCACCTTGAACCTGGAAGTGTTTCCGGCTCTTACGCCAAAACTGGGAACTCTTTTCTGCAAGGTTAACTGAACTTATCTATTTATTGCTGTAGCTTTACCAACCCAGCAGGAGCAATGAGGGCAGTATCCTGACCGAGCTGTGGATTGCTGCCTTCACCAGAATACAAACACATGGGCAATGTCCACCCCTATAACAAATTGGGGCCAAATCTGGAAACGCTCCTTTGGCAGACTGAGTTAACCCCACGATTCAAGTCTGTCATCAGCTGGAGCAAAGACCCGCTGAAGCGAGCGGAAAGGTTCCCTTTGGTTTTTCTAACAGCTGGGCTGGGTTCTTGCTTCTCCCTCACCACTGCAGAAACGATCAGCACGTGGTGTGCAGAGCCGAGCAAGACTCGCTACTTCTCTCCTACAGACCCCGAAGACTCTCAGATCACAAAAACCAGGATTATCTGAGACTTTTCTCCAGGAATGATTAACACCAAATCATATCGAAAGAGTACAAAACCACATTTAAAAAAAAATAATTATACATATACAATACGACAGCCAGATGACTATATCTTGACTGTGATGTACAACATATAGTCCAATGCAGCTGCATCTTGTGAAGCAGGGAAAGCTAAACTGCCACATCTGGAAAACCTTCACGTACAAAGGAGATAGCTAGTAACTTCATGTTGGCATTAGTTTTCATAATCAGATGTCTAATTTGCAATGAAAACACAAGATCCTAATCTATCTTTAATGAAGCCAATGGCAAAACTCCATTATTTCACTGGAAGCAGGATTAGCTCACATCTGAGTGGAAAACAAAAAACAAACCCAGTAAAAACAATCACCAATTATTTCCACAAACAGCAACAAATACACCTGTTTATAAAAGTGCCTGCAGACTGGTGATTTTGTGGGGAAGCCAACACTGAAGAACAGATTTTAAACAGTTTTTCAGAAAAAAAATAGAGGAATACATAAACTTCCTCCAGGGATTTTTACTCATTAAAGGCCACTTTTCACCAGGAGAGAAGTCTGGATTAAAAACACTGCCCAGGTCTAACACTTACTGAACTACAAGGCCACATGTCCACTTGGGTGCTGAAAATGGAGAAGTATCTGCACCAATGAACGTTAGTCTTGCTGACTACCTGTGCCCAAATAAGTTTATTTTATATCTTCTACTACTTGCAAACACATCTTTTTTAGTGGTGCTTATGGTGCTAAATTTTGCAGGTTTGTTCCTAATCGCCAGCGTGACCGTCACGCAGCTTGGATGTGGGAAACTCTGTGTATGTAGAAAGAGCAATAAGCAGGCAAGGAGCGAAGAGCGAGGCAAAGGCAAGCCCTCGCGTTGCTCATTGTGTAGGAGTGGGATTACAACTTCAGCTTTTACGGCCAGACGCTCTTGTTTCCAGAAGGGGATTTTCACTGAGATTAAACAAGCATTTGGCTTCCTTGCATCCTAACCTATTTTCAATATTGGAACAGCCTCTGTTTTGTAAGAAGGTAATCTTGGCACAAAGAAGGTTTAACGGGAAGGTAGGGAGCAAATTATCTAACCACAGCAACTCTTTAATCCCTGTTTTAATGCTGAAGAGCAAAACTAAGTCAAAGTGAAGCTAAGTCCCTCCTTTCCAGGCACGCATGCAGGAGTAGAAGGGCATCCTGGGTTTATCTGCTCCCAACCCCAAACCCCCTGACAAGCAGGTATGGTGTGATGGCCCCTTACGTGTACTCCATGTCCTGGCAGCGCCGGTTGGCTTGCATGATCTCCTCCTCCTCCTGCCAGCCCCGCATCTCCAGTGTGCTCTTGCGTGAGTGGCTCGGGGCCGAGGCGTCCCTGGCAAAGCGGTTCAACACGGTGAGCTGGGCTCCTGAGACCGCGAGGGTGGCTTTTGCAAGCGAGACTGGCGCTTGCAAAGAACGTCCCAAACCTACATCTGAAAAGCAAGCTAGCGATGGTTGCCTGTCAACTGGATGGCTGTCTGGCATTGGGTCATATTGCTGTGGGCTACTCTTCAAGGTCAAGTTGGATGGGGCTCTGAGCAACCTGATCTAGCTAAAGATCCCCCCACTGCAGGAGGGGTTGGGCTAGATGACCTCTAAAGGTCCCCTCCAACCCAAAGCATTCTATGATTCTATGATTCTACTCTTAGCTTGGGTTTTGTCATTAACACCATTAATTAACTGGGCTGATGGAACAGTGAGCATGCTGAAATCATGGGCAACCACCACGGGGTTAACAACCATCCTGAAGGACAGAGTCAGCTGTCAGAGGGACTCACTCACCAGGAAAATGGTCCCAAGTCAACAAGACTACATCACAAACAAGAAATAAAATTGTACGCTTTCGAAAGTGAAAAATGGCACAGGAATTGCTGCCTAGACTGGAGTGCAAAAGAAAAGGATCACCCTGAGTCACGCACTTAACCGCATTTCAAAGGGAAATCTCATTTTAGGATGTTTTCAAGGCATTTGGCTTCTAAGAAACTGGGGCGAGAAGTTATCTGTCCCATCCTCCTCATCGCTGGAAAGCCTCACTGCAGTGCTTGTGTGCCTTCGGGCACCATGCTTTGACACACACAAACTGGAGACAGTCCAGACAAACGCAACAGGAATGCGAAGGGGTCTACACTAGGACATGTGAGGAATGGCTGAAGGAATGAAGTTGGTTCAGGCCAGGGAAGATACAACAGGGGATATCTGTCCTCCAAGGCTGCTACAGTGTTGACTGTCATCTGTTGCTCATCATGTACATCTGGGAAGGACAAGAATCAATAGAGGTAGTTCGCCTCAGAAGAGGTTTAGTTTAGCTATCAGGAGAACTTTTTTAATTTGAAGCTTAATGAAGCAGTGAAACAGGGGACTTATAAGCCACAAAATTTCCCTCGTTACAGGTTTTGAAAGCTAGGTTAAACAACCACGCTGCAGACCATGGGATGGATGCAGCCACATACCAACAGCCCCCGCTCGCTCCATCGGTGCGCTGGGGAGGAGCTGCCTTACCTGCGCTGTGTAATCTGGCGGCCCAAGACTTTGCCCTTGAGGCAACTGCTTGAGCCTGGTGCCTGGATTTGATAAACTTTTGGACCTGGTCAGAAGGGTAAATCCTCTCTTCACCGACTAATGTATCTCACTGGCATGACACCACGGAGAGGTGCATTAACCCTGGCGGCGCGACTCAGCAGGGGAAGGCAAGCAAAATCCAGCCTCGAGAAAACATCCATTCTTTATTATTCCTCCATGCTTTCTGCGGTGAAGAGAGCTGCCCGCATGCAGCAAGGCCATCTTACCTCTCCGTTGCAGCTGTGGCCACGGCATTCATGGCAAAGTGCCTGATCGTACTCTCCTCCAGGTACTTCTGCTCCCACTTGGTCATGTCAGCTTCCAGGGCCAGGATCCTCTCCTCCTTCTCCCGCACCAGCTCCATCAGGGCCGGGGCGTTGTGCTCCGGGAGGCTGCTCGTCTGGTAGCTGCCCTGCCTCTGCCGATGGGAACAGCAAGAGATATTCACCACAAGTACAGGAGCTGCTGGCCATTTTTTCCCCACACCTTCTCCATAGCGCACAAAGTCATCCCCACGTCTTTTGACATCCCCAGGGCAGGTGGAAACCCCAGGCTAAACCCCTCAGGTTGCAGGAGGACAGGCAGGTTGGCCATGTGTGCAACCCCAGCACACGCTTCTCCGGACCATGCTGACAGAAGCAGGGGTCCGGCTGCTCCCTGGATGTGCAGGGATTTCATGGGATACGCCAAGCCAAGGCAAAAGGTAGGAAATAAAGCTGGTAGGAAAAAGAAGCAATGAAGCTTTAAAAAATATTCTTACTGGGACTTCACCCCACAGCTGGGCAGTGCTCAGTATGGGCAGGCAGTTATTACCAGAGGGTTTATACATAAATGCAGGGGAAAAAAGCGACATGTAACCTAGCCACATGTAACCTATTTAAAACAGCAGCTGGGAACACACCCCGGACACGGATTTATGCCTGTGTCTCTTGGCACATTAGTTGTCATGTGCCCTCAGGAGATGCATTCTGTGGTGCAGCAGGTACCTTCCCAAACAGAGGGGCAGAAGATCGCCAGGTGCTGCAGGGTGACTCCCATGGGATACTGACCAGCAGCAATGGGTGCATAACCCTTCGCATCTACGCCGTGAGGAAGCAGTCACCCAGGCAGGATTTGTCCCACCCAGTTACGGGAACTTAATTAAAGCACCTAAGTGGCACAGGTAGCTGCCCCGAGCTCATTTCAGAGCCAGTGAAGAGCGGAGGATGGAGATCACAGAATGGTAGGGGTAGGAAGGGACCTCTGGGCATCATCTAGTCCAACCCCCTGCCGAAGCAGGGTCACCTACAGCAGGCTGCAAAGGAACTTGTCCAGGCGGGTTTTCAATATCTCCAGAGAAGGAGACTCCACAACCTCCCTGGGCAGCCTGTTCCAGTGCTCCGTCACCCTCAGAGGGAAGAAGTTCTTCCTCATGTTCAGCTGGAACTTCCTATGCTTCAGTTTGTGCCCGTTGCCCCTTGCCCTGTTGCTGGGATCCAGCCCTCAGCTCAGCAGAGGTTGGGTGGGATGAGCCCACACCGCAGGGAGAGGCACGAAGTTCTGGGAGAAGTCAGTAGAATTAAATCTTTTTTTCAATAAAAAATGCAAGAGATTTGTTACACTTTGCAGTGCGCAGTATTGTGTTAAAGGGGAAACCATGTCTTGGCTTCTCACCCATGCTACACCACAACTTCCACCAGCAAAGCGGCTCCCTGGCACAGTACCAGCACACCAGAGCGAGGGCTGCAGCTGCCGTTTCCGTCTTCCAGACCACTTTTCCTCCTTCTAGACACTTCTCTCCTGCTTACAGGGAGCTAGAGACACCAAGGGAGGGCTGCAGCCTTTGCCTGTGCTGTGGTAGCAACATGTTTGGAAGCTGCTTTCTGGAAGTGCGATACAGAGTCGCCCTTAGAAGCAACAGCTGCGACTCTGCTCCTGTAAAAACCAGCACTTACACTTCGAATATCCTCAGATCCCTGGCAGGAAGGTAGTATTTTGGAAGCACGGTCCTGGCCTGTAAATGGCATCTTGGGACGTGGTGGGCGCCTTTCATCTTTGTTCTCAGTCCAAACTTCTGCCAGCCCTGCACACTCCGACGGCAGCGCTAAGATTTTTTTTTGTCCTAGCTCATGCATCACCAATAATGAAGATTTGCCGTTTGGAGTTGGTTACCAACAAGCCAGGAACAGAAGGGACTCTGGCTTGCCATCTCCTTCTGCTGACTCCAGTAAAAAGGAGAAACAAGCTCTTTTTTTTCCTCTGCGATGAGAAAATATTTCAGTAGACATAACTTTGATAACTCAGAGAAGACAGCACATTTTGAAGCAACATAATTCATTGCAGGGTTGTGGCTCATAAAACAAAAAGTATAAATAGTAAAAAATACCCCAGTATCCTCTAAAAGCTACATAGACACATGAAGTCAGAGCATCTTTCTTCTTACAACTTGTTAGAAGGAACTGATGTAGGCATTTGAGAACTGTGGCAAGCCAAAATGCAGCTGCTGATCACAGTGTGGGAAAAAAAAAATAAAACGAAGCAATCTGTAAGTTACAGAGGAATTTTCTGCCAAAATGAGCAGACGTAGCCTGAACTCCCGAGAACTTTGCTGACAGTCCATCCCAGTTACTTAATATATCGATTCGTCTCTATATTCCAGCCCAGAGAACAAACCTTTTTATAGTTCTAGTTTTACCTTCCCTTGAATTTTAATTGAATTTTCTCAAATGTTATTTCATTTACACCAGCTTTAGCATGTCATATCCCACGCAATTTCTTTTTTAAACTGGAGGAGAGCAGGCTAAGGGGCATTTGAGAAGAGCTACTGGAAGAAGACAAGAACAACAAGCCCATGGTGGACAGGGCAAGAAAGACTACACATACTTGTAGAGCAGCAAGGAAGAGCCAAGATGGATGGGAAGGGTCTCCAGGGAGCAGCAGCGACAGTGATGGTGTTGGAGGGGTGCTGGGGGACCTGCCCTGCCCTGGGGCTGCCAGTGAGAAGGAGATGCTCTCAGGCCCGGCCACCTCGTGACCCTGCAAACCGCAACCCGCTGATGTTCCCCAGCCGCATCGCACAGGCAGGATCAGCCCCTCTGCTTTCCGGCAGCACAAGCTCCGTGTGACAGCTGCTTTGGTCTCCACTAACGGCTCATAAACAAGGAAGGGTTATTGTAGCAGATGCATTTCTCGACAGAGCTGTTAGTGAGCCCTTGAAGAGTTACAAGAGCATCATGTTTTGCTTATATGGCTTCGTATATCTGCTTAGCAGTGCCCATGCATTTGTCACTCGGTGCTGGCTGTAACCTGGAAATCCTCCCTGCAACCTCCCCATGCTTCTTGCCCCCCTTTTCACAGATGACTGGACTTTGGGACTTGAGGATGCAGGAGAATGTGAGAGACTGGGTTACCTATCCAGAGGAATCAGTGTGCATAAAATACAAGCATAACACTATCCCTCTGAGGACACAAGGCTGCCAAAAAAACAAGGGGACAGAAATGCAAAACTACACTTCTAGCCAGTCTGGACTGGACTGATTTTAAATAATTTATTGCCCGAAGATGATGACACTACTGAACCTGATCCTTACAGGTCCCTTCCAACTCAAGATATCCAATGATTCTATAATTTGTCTCCAGATCTGTTATGGACAGAGGTTTCTGTGAACCAAGTACATCAGCTTTGTCCAGAATGAATACTGACCGAGCCGTTGCTCCCACCTAACCCCACATCATCCCACCTTGCTTTTTTAGTAAAAGATCGGCCAGAATCCACGGGCTAAATTTCATGCCCACGTGTACTGCACCTTTCCTCTCCTCCTTCAGTGTGGAGCTGATCTTGCACAGTCTGTGATTGCTGGAGAGAAACCTGGAAGGACATTCTCCCCTGGCAGGCATGGGGGCACAGGCAGGGGCTGAGCCAGGAGCTCCCAGCCCCACAGCAGGCAGGGCTCGGCTGTGTCCAGCAGCCCCACTGCAGAGCTCCCCCATCCTCCGCTGAAAATCAGGAGTTAGAATCACAGATCAGTTCGGGTTGGAAGGGACCTTCAAAGATCATCTAGTTCCAACCCCCTCTGTCATGGGCAGGAACATCTTCCACTAGATGAGGTGGCTCAAAGCCCCATCCAACCTCACCTCGAACACTTCCACTGCTGGGGCATGCACAATCCCACCCAAAGGAAAGGCTTAGGTGGAAAGCCCAACGACCTGAACCCAACAGCAGGGTGGTGCCTGGCAGGGCTGCAAGCGACCGCCCTCTTCAAAGGCAACACCGAAGGCCCCGTGCTGGGGTCCCACACAGACCGCCCCGTCCTCACCTGCTGCATCCGCAGTGAGTCCAGCTCCCGCTCCAGGCGCGTGCGCAGCCGCCGCTCCATCTGCTCCCTCTTCTCGCAGGCCGCCTGCAGCTGCGTCAGCGCCTGCTGCAGCTTCTCCACCTTCTCCACGTAGGCCTGCTTCCTGCGCAGCTGTGGGGGGACGCACAGCCGGCATCGCTGGGGCAGCTCTACATCTCCTGGGTCAGAGGGAACGTTGCCCAGCTCTTCCACCCGTTGGGGATCTGGTGCCCGTGAAACCCCCCGGCCGTTTCTGAGCAAGAGCCATCATGCTGGTGGATACTCTCTGGGCAAGCACACAGGCTGGCGTCAGCTAAGAGGAATCCTGGTGGGTTTTATCGACTGGTGACACTGGGCACACTGACTGCACCCAAACAGAGTCTCTTCTTTCCAACCCTGCCTATCTGCCCAGGGCAGGTGGAACAAGCTGAGTGCCAGCAGCCAGAAGCGCTCCACCTGCTCCATCCTGCTCATGGCCTTGGCCATGACAATGTACATATGTGCTGGCAGCTAAAGCTGAGCCCTCCTTACGTATATAATGCAATTACTGAAGGGCTAAACATGGCACAAGGATTTTGTAATAGAGAGTTTTATAGCCAGAAATTGCTCAAGCACCATACCCCAAAAGGAATTTGCAAGTGGACTGCACATGTTCAGGGTGCTTAGCGGCTAACCCGCCTTCTCCTGGCCTCCTACCACGCCACTGGGCACCCAGTGACACCACAGGGTATCGCGATCGGGGCTCATGGCAGGAGCTGGCACACTCGAGAGCCCTCGGGGAGAGGAGGCTGCAGACACGGGACACGCTGGGCATCAGCTGCACCAGGCAGTGGGATGGGCATCAAAGCCTGTGCTGAAACCTGCTCCCCAGCCAAAACCTGGCACTGAAACGGATGAGCTCACAGGGGCAGGCACAGCTGGGTGTCTGCGAGCAGTCCCTGTCCCTGGGGAGCTCGGACGCTGACCCGAAAACTCGCCCACAGGGCTGTGGCAGCGGGGGCTGCCTGCTCACCCCATGGGCTGCAGTCCCAACCTCGGGAAACCCAGTTCCCCTCTTCTCCCCCAACCTTTTGCCACGAATTTTCTCTTCACAAACATGAATAAATTCACCTTTCTAAAGATATCTGCCTTGCAGTAGAGAAAGCAAAAGTGCACATAAACTGAAGCTGCAAACCCCAAAAGACCCCAAAACACTCTCGACTTCGCCCCCTGACTCGGAAAGGGAGGGTGAATCAGTCTGAATGCTGGGTCACGCAGACTTTGCCAAGCCTCAGTCGGACCCCACCTGCAGCCTGGGGGTTAATGGGAGATACTCGAGGTCATTGCCATGATCACTAAGATCCTCTTTAGGACTTCCAGTCTCCCTCATTTATTTGTACACTTGATCGAGACCTGAAGTTTTTCAGAAGGAAAACAGGAGGCAGCTGACACTGGGGAACTAGATAAATAAGGGAGTCTGGAGAGGCACTGTGAGATGGCAAGGCCAGCGCCAAAACGATATCCTAGTGCCTACCTCTTTTTTAAGTACTTAATTCCCTATGGAACTTAACTGCAATCTGGGTTATGATATAGGAGGTATAGCCACAAAATATCTGTGTCTAAATATCTAGGGGATGTAGTGAGAAGTTTGCTGCCTTGTTCCTGGGCATGTGGAGCAAATAAGCACCAGCGCTGGGTCTCCCCGGCTCTGTGGGGCTCCCCTTCACCCAGAGTCCTCTGCTTAGCCCAGGACTCCCCTGCTGCAATGACGGTGTTTCTTTTTACTTGTGTGATGCTGGATTCACCCAAGTCCTCTCCCACTGATCACAATGATAATAAAAATCTCTTTTTCTTGAAATTCCTCTTCTGCCACCCTAAATCCATTCATGTCAGAGGTGAAGTGAAATATGGTCTTATTCACAGCAAAAGCAAAGCTTGGCCTAAACAAACCTCCCCAGCCAGAGCTGACAATTGGCAGCATGACCTCCCTAGTCCTGCTGTAATCCAGGCTAACGCTTACAGCTCCCACGGCTTTCCAAGAAAATTAATGAGATTATAATCCCCACTAGTCTCTGGCAGCAGCACGAAGATTGCATTCCTTGGGAGCTCACAACTTGGCAAGACAGACATAGCTTCTTGCTGAATGTGCTATTTTGGCAGTAGGAAGGTGCCTGTGCCACCTCCCAGCTGCACCAGCGTGGATCAGAGAGGGGAAGGGCGCTGCCCCAGGGTCCCTCCGCAGCAGCAGACCTTGTCAGCTCCCTCATGTCCTGCTGGATGCTGGAGGGTCCATCTGTTCCACAGCAGGCAGGATTTGGCTTTGCGGCAGCCCTCTAAGCCCCAGAGTTCACGCGCTCGCCCACGAGTGCACCTCTGCCCGTGTGGGTGAGGCGATGCACACAGGTCCACCGCCTCTGAAAACAGTTTTGTTGGAGACATGCAACAAGACAGTTCCCACACTCAGAAGTTTACAGGGAGGTTCTTGAGCCAATTCTGATTTTTCTATCCTGCCTATAGATTCAGAAGCACAAAATTCACCCACACATTTAAAAAACGAAGTACAAAATGTGGTCATTTAAATTAATGGCCTTGTCAGTGCAGTATGCATCCATAAGGGAGGGGGACTGCGATCAGAAATACATGATACTAAGCTCCACTACCTCACAGACACGCAGACTCAAATAAAAAAACAGCTGGATGGCACCTGGAGATGTACCAGTCCATCCTCCCGCTGCGAGACAGGATCAACTCTCCCTAAAACCTGGCACATGTCTGTACAATCTGTTTACAAACCCTCCAGGGGCAGGGACTCCACAACCTCCCCCAGCAAACTAATTCACGGCTTGTTTTTCTTTACTGCCAGAAAACTTTTACCCCAATGCCTGATCTGGCTTTCTCTTAGGCAATTTAAGCAAATTACTTCTTGTTCTGTTTCCAAATTGTGATCTGCAAGTGCAAGAAGCATTTAATGAAACAACTCACATATTCACAAGATCAGCAAACTTGCCTGAACACTGCCCTTGTCCCAGGGATTAGGAAGATAAAGATGAAGATGAGCTGAGGCTAAAAGGGGATGATCCAAGCAAATAAATTTGAGTAAAGATGAGAGGGTCTTGGAAAAATATCTGCACTAGGAATGTAACTCCAGTTTGAGCTACAGAGTATCTATTCTATAGATATGAGATTTTAGTTAAAGACTGTAAGAGATGGGGAATCTACTGTCACCCTAAGCAGGTTGTTTCAGTGTTAATTACTCTAACTATTTATTTCCAGCCTGATTTTCTCAGCTGCAGCCCCCAAACACTGCATCTCATTATTTCTCCTTATGTTAAAAAGCAACATTTAATCTGGCTGACAGCAATCCCTTCTTCATGTTCATGTGCACGGACTGGAGCTCAGCCACCTCTTCACTTTAATTGTTCACAGCAAAGAACAGCTTCTGGCCCCAAATAACTTCTACAGCTGTTTTCTGAACCTTCTCCAATTATTCAGTGTTCCATCCAAAGCGCAGACCAGACACACGATTCCAGCAGCAGTCTCCTAAATGACATGCGGTGGTAATACCACCTACATATTTTTGAATTAAATCCTTCTACTAGCAGGCACTCAGGATAACACAGATTTACATAGTACACTATCTTATGTTAATTCAACTTAGAAAATACTGCTTATTTCTCAAGCCTTGATTTAATTAGCTTTTAAACTTAATTAAAATCTGCTGGTAGAAGAAATCTGGATGGATTTACAAAACAGGGCATGAGGTAGAGCTCTGTTAATAATAATAGCAATTTTTATTTGAGTGATCCTGTGTTTCCTTCAATATATTCCAAATTATGGTAAAAATCCCTGGTTTAAGATGAAGGTTCAAGACTTTAACAATATCTGCTGTGTATGTGTTGAACCGAGCTCCAGAAACACCAGACACTGTTGAAAAGGTGCTCTGATTTATGTTGAAACAAGCCAACAGCAAGGGAAAGGAGCACAGGAGCTTAGGCACACGCCAGCAGCCACAGATTAACTGCACTTCACCCGAGTTCCATGACACTGCCTTGAACAACTAAAACAGGGCAGCTGGGATAAAATTCATTCGAACTCCCACTAGAATGAATAAAGCAGTTAACCCTACCAGGTCAACATGGGTGTGCTCAGGCTGAGGGCTCTGACAAACACCATTGCATCACCTTCGCATGTTGTCACTTCTGAGATCTACCATGCCCTAGGCAAGAGGTTACCACCTCCACAACATCTACCATGCCCCGGGCAGGAGGTTACCACTCTATAACACTTGCCATGCCCTGGGCAGGAGGTTAGCAGCTCTCTAGAGGGGAATATTTGCCCTCTCCTCAGCTCCACCAGTCCACAATCCAGGATCCTAGCTCCGATCCCCAACAGAGGCACATGTCTGTTTTGTGACTGGACTAGCAACTGGCAACTGCAAAGCTCTTGGAGACAGAGCCCTAGAGCTGCAAATGTATCTACTACAACCCAGCAGGCACAGGGTAGCTTCCTACACCATGCCTGGAAATCTGCATTTGTGCTTCTGCTGCCTTCTCCAGTGTGTATTCAGCAAGTCAGCGTCACCTGCCAACACCTCGCTGACAGTCTGTAGAGCAGCCAGGAGCTAAACGTCTTTCTTCCCACCCCTTGAGTGATGCCTCAACTGCAGGAGCACGTGTTGCCACATAAAACATTCCTTTATTCAGCCACTTCGTAATGAAATGCAAATAAAAAACCTCTGGCTGTCTTCAAGGCAAACAGTGTCAAGGGAATTCTGTACAGATTAAAGGTACACTGGCTCCTACAGCTGTCCCAGAGGGACTCCCCCAAATGCTCTGGGATGGTGAGCAGGCTTTAGTCTAACTGACAAAGGAGCAGTTAAACTTAATGTGATCTTCTTCTTGCTGCTAAGTGTATCCCCCGTAGGCAGTAGAGTTATAAAAATGTTTCTAAAGAGGAAGTCAAGATGGTCTAATGGTCAGGAACAAAACAGCAATGCCTTCAGCACTTGCATATAGTACCCTAAATCTTCCTGACTCTAAGGAACCGTTAGGTAGCCTAACAGGGTTCTGCAACGCTGGATACCCTGACAAAAAACATGCAAGTATCACTGAGATCAATTCACTCTTCATCTTTCTAAGACAATGAATTGCACTTAAGTCACTTGCAGGTATCTGAGAAAAGACCTTGCCTGCTCCTCACAAGACCCCGTGCATCCCTGCACTCGGCAGACTCCTAAGGATTCACCCCCAGCCCAGCCCTGCAGGCAGGGTGCTGGTGGGAAATGCAGCACTGAAGGGGAAAAGACCTGCCCAAACCCAGGCCAGCAGCCTGTGCCAGAGCAGGAACCTCTACCCAAGCCTGCTAGGTGCGCATCCTCCCCCTCCGCAATGGCCTGCGCACTCAGATGGTAAGGATTATGTTTATTTTATTCCCCACAAAACCTTCTCCCTCTTTGCTGGTCATAGGGCTAGAGATTTTAGAGCCAAAAAGGCTGGTTTTGACAGCCTTGCCTGATCTGCCAGTGAGTTATTAAATCCACGCGTTTTGGTTGAAGGTCTTAAGGAACAAAATAAATTGAGATTCAGAGACCTCTAATAATGGAGAACTGACATCACTCTTAGTTATAGTTAAAATTGACCGTTATTTCCACTTTGGATTTGTGTAACTCAAGCTTCCAGCTACTAGATGTTCCGTACTTGCCTGCCAGTCTGAAGAGCCCTCTCTTACTGGGATTTCTCGTCCCATCTGAATACCTATTCTCACTATCAGGCTTACAGGAGCATTGCTTAAAGACCTCCTGGGGATTCTGCACAGATGACACTTCTTGGGTTTCATGGTACGATGGGGTTTTTTCAGCTCTCAAACAAAACCTGTAGCTCTTTATAGCTCTAAATGCTGGAAGGCCTGCCTCCAGCCTGATCAGCCAGTTGTTTTAAGACCACTGTTTAGATGCGAAGTTACTGAGTCCTGCACTGCTGCGCACATCCCAAAAACCTCCTGGCATTCTTTGGGCAGAAGTGGGACACACCAGCATCACATGTTTGTATCGCAGTCCCAAGTCAGTGGGAAGGTAGCTTTTTACTTGGTCCTACCATTACCCCAGCCATCAGCTAGTCGAGTTTGGCGATGCTCCTGGTTACATGTTGAAGGCTCTGCTCTAAAGTATTTATGGTTGTGGTCTCCTGTGCTTGCTTGCTTGGCTCAGCACTGTATAACTACACCTTTTCTCTACGGCAGGGCCACTGCAAGGGGAGACCCTGCCACGCTGTGGGGAGAAGAGGTTCAGGGCCTGGATGGATAAAGCCCTACCCATGAGCCAGCACTAGCCTCAGAACAGAGAAGTGATGCCCATGCCTCACCTCCTCTTCCAGTTTGATGACCTTGGCTTGAGCGTTGTTTAGGGCCTGGTCGAGGATTTCGATGTGCCTCCGCTGGTCCTCGTTGGCAGAGCGCATGGCTGCCAGCTCCATCTCCAACTTCTCCTTCTCCTTCAAGTGCTCTTTGTCTGGAAGAAAGACAAGAATAACAGTCACTTCAGGAGGTCAGCGCGCAGGCCCTGGCCCATGCGCCAGAGGTAAGCTGCCACCTCCCTAGAAAAGCAAAAGCTATGCGAAGCAGCAGCGAGCGGGGCCGTTACAACATGGTGCTGTGACACAGCAGGCAAGGATTTTCTGCTGCCAAGGATCAGCCTCTCGGTGCCCAGCCTTACACAAGCACCAGGGGCAGAGACAAGAGGCAGCCTGGGCTGCATCTGCACTAGCAGAGCTTGTGGACCTGAGCACTGCCTCGTAATTGTCCACTCTGCTGAACTGCCAGCACATTCCCCAGCAAGATTTTGGCTTGCACCGGCTGCTCCTTTCCCACACCGCACCCAGGCCCTGCCTGGGGACAGCCTACATCAAGGACTGGTTATAGCTGCCAGCTTGGATGCTGCTGCCCTTCTCTGAGGGGCAAGGAACCTCAGCCCCACAGATGTGGGCTGTGCTGTGCCCGGTTCATTTTATTTACAAGGATGGAGATCATGAGATACAGAACATGTGAAGAAACCAAATAATAAACACAGATCTCTTCTGGACAGCCTGAAAATGGGAAGAGGGGAAAGCAATAAGAAAGAATAAGATAGGAGGCATCTGAACGGGCTTTCTCTGGCCATGCAGAGCAAAGGGGGCCATGGGAGGCACTTCAACCCTGTGGTGGCCCTGGGTCACTTTCTAGTCCTGCATGATCCAAGGGACCAGCAACCAGTGCTCCCCTCCTGTTAAGCGTCTTAACGCATCAGGAACGAGACTAAAACACATAGATAGCCTCTGCGTCAAAAAATCACCCCTTTTTTGGAGAAGTTTTAAAATGACATTAAGAAAAAAAAAAAGTCAGTCAGCTTTGCTCACATCTTTTTCTTTGGCAATAATTTGCAGGCCATCATTGACTTTGCTGGCAAGCTGCCTGGGGAAAGGCTCAGCTCCATCCACCTCTGCCCTGAAAGTGCCGAGAAGCCATTTCAGGGAACATGACCGTCGCAGGCCGATCGCCAGATCCCCGATGTGGGACCACAGACAGTTAACGACTGGAGGGAGCAGGGATGGAGGTTTCATTCAGTGAAATCTGGGATTTCAAAATCTGGCCTTCATTATGAATGACAACAAAAATAGAGCACTTGCAAAGATTCCAAGAAGGAAAATTTATTCCAAAAATTAATTTGGCATCAATTAAATGTTGGATTGATTTTTGAATTTTTAAACACAGCATTATAGAATTCATTATTTTTTAAATGAAGTGAGAAGTTGCTCCAAAAACATTGAAATGTGGAAAATCTGCCCCTAACATCCAGCCTGTCCCACCTGAGCATGACCGCTCCAGCTGGAAGCCCAGCCACCCACCTGCCTCTGAGGGTCAGGAAATTTCACGTGGCCGAAGCCAGCCCATTTCAGACCTCAAGTGTCCCCAAAACAGCCTTATTTGTCCTTAATTACAGGTGGGATGAGAACAGCATTAATTGACACACTACAAGTAGGTACCTACAGTGAGGTGAGACACATATGAGCTGAGCCATGTGAAACAAGGTGTAGAACCAGTGGCCGAGGTGAGCCCAAACCCACCCAGCTGTCTTCCCGTCCATCCTAAAAGGAGGAATTCAGCACCTCACCAAAATGAACCCTGGCAGCAACATCGGCACATTGGCCTCAGCAAGGCCCATGAGCAAGGTCCAGCAAGTGCTGCGCACACCACCCCCACCGACTGCCACCATGAGCCATCTCAGTGTGACATGGCCTTAATCTTCGCACGTTGGCAAGGGATTTTATAGTGGACATGCAGGTCTCTTCCTTCAATGCAAAGACATTTATTTCAGTGAGATTGACCACAAGGAACATTAATACCTATAGCACAAAAGTTGGATTTGAAACCCATGTTTCATGTTACACATGAGGACAGTGTGCAGAAAAATGGGACTTGTGACCTTCACTTTCAGCTTTCGTCTGGGGAACTCGAAGCACTCAGCTTGCCCTGCTGCATCACATTTTTTAACCCCCCTCCCATAAGGAGCACAAGATTACGCTGTACACAAAATGACCACTGAACCCACTAGAAAGCTGGCAAAAAAATACACTCAACAGCTCTCAACTCTTCTCCGCATCAGCTTCTCCTTGCAAAATGATGAAGGCACATTTTATAAGTACTTTCCCATATTGCATTAATTTCTAGTAAAGAAGAACTTTGCTGAACATACCTTAAATTCTCTTCAAGTACATACAGGTATCCTTAAAATCTAAAAATACTGTTTTACTGTGCTACACTTGCGTATACCTTCTGCCCAGGCATGCACTTTTCACCTAACAGGTTCCAGCTAATAACTATTTTTATTTTCTGGTGGCTCACTGCAACATCTCGTCACTGAACAGTCCCCAAAATGCTTCTCTGCTGTAGTTTACTGTTGTAATCCCACAGCTTTCCACCCACTGCCTCTGACTGTTGTTCCTCAACACACTGAGGACATTACACCTATACTCTGGCAGGGTAGAAGAAAGAAGAGATAAAGCAAAGACCCTGCTATGGTGCTTTGCAAACAGGCTTTTTGAGTTGTCAAGTTTGGTAGGTCCACCAAAAGATCATTCTTGACCCTGCTTTGAAGTAGAAACATTAGACAGAAAGACACACCCCGTCTTTGCCACTCATTCCCTACAGTTGCATGCATCCCCCAGCTTTTCACACAGACCTCACACAACAGAAGGTTTTGATCTGATCAGTCTTGAAAGAAAAACAAGGAACATGTTTCTAACATACCATTTACCTATATCCGTTGAACGTGTGCCCTCAAAGCCATCCATAACTAAACACTACATTTTATCTAAGCTTCAACTTATTTGACCAGTTTAATGACCACCTCAATACATCCCCAACTGCTTTTCTCCTTGCTGCAATATTGCAGAGTGGTAAGACGGACATACTTTAAAGACACTCCTTGTTCCTACAGAATGACCACTACTGGCAGAAGTAAAGAAATTACATGATGGAAGTGAGAGCCCAATTTGGCTGCAGGAGATTTGCTGAAAACAAGAATGGCTCCCATTACCACGTCCCTTGTGGTGTTTCCAACAATTTCTCTTACGCAGGTTTGCCTTTCCCGATGGTGGCTCGTTGTTCACAGCTGCTAATTTCAGACACTCGGCGGTGACTGGGCCTTTCTTGAGTGAAACCTGCAGGGCTTCTTTAGCCTCTCGTCAGTCTTGTGACTCCTGACATGGCAAGCGTGTGGAGGAGCTCTGCCGTCCACCATCCACGGGTGTACGCCGCGGCAGCTGCTGCTGGTCACCCTCGGACCAGCTGATTCACCAGGATGGGGCACTCTTCTGCTCATCCAGCTCAAGCTGGGACTTGGCCAACTCCAGCGGCCTGACCTTCCCAAAGGGTGCCAGGGTGGTGACGGAGGGGGCTGAACAGTGGGACGGGCCCCTCGTGCCCTGCCACTCTGCCCAGAGCAATGGGCAGAAGGAATCTGAAGTGAGGACAGGACCTTGTTGCCTGCTCCAAAGACCTTTCTGCAGCTGGTTCCCACCCCATAAGAATAAGCAGAAAAAATGAATAAATAAAGTCCATTCACTCCATGCAGCCAACCAGGAGGACGTTTTCCACAGCTTTACTAAATTCTTTGCACATTAAACAGGGCCAGGTTGCCAGGTCCAGACACTGAAGTTTTCCTCCAGAGGAGCAGCAGAGCCACTGTCCGTCCATCAGTCGCTCTGCCCAAGCCTCGCTGCAGCTCCCTGCAGCTGTGGTTTGATGCTGACTAGGGTGGCCCAAGGCAGGCTGGGAGCAGCAACGCAGAACTGGGAAATGAAGCACTTCTTTCCATCCCCACTGGCAGGTCTCCGTGAGGAAAAAAAAGAAAGAAGATACAAATGCCAAGAAAGCTCATTGCAATCTTCTCCTCCTGCAGTTTTGCTCACAAACAGCACAATCCTGACAGTTCTCCAGTGTTTGGGCCACACCAGCACCAAGAAAAGGCTGAGAAGCTGCAGGAGATTGCGCTTGAGTCCCAGAGTCCATTTTCTCATGTGGTGATTAACAGGGATTCTGCACTGGCATTAGTAATTATGATCAATTGTAATGTATTTAACAGATGGTTCGGGGTACAGGGTTGCCCATGGTCAGCAAGCTAAGCAGGGATGCAGAAAGGTTTGGTGCTCCGTTGTCAGAGGAAGTCACCAAATCTCCATTGAAACTCTTGATGGCTTTCCCCACCCTACGAAGTATCATGGGCAGCTTAAACTTGGTCTCATTTACATCCTAGGCATTTCCATTTGCATGTCATGAAATACAAGTCAGGGGAGAATTTGACCTTCATGTGTTGAAAACTTCAATCAGATTTCCCACACCCCTTCCCTTCAGAGGGCAGGAGGAAGTCAAGCAAAACAGACCCATTTTTCTATACAACACCGTTTCTTTAGGACGCTGCTCACCTCAGTAGGTGCCCTTGGCTCTGGCACTGGAACAGGCTGCCCAGGGAGGTTGTGGAGTCTCCTTCTCTGGAGATATTCAAGACCCGCCTGGACAAGGTCCTCTACAGCCTGCTGTAGGTGACCCTGCTACGGCAGGGGGTTTGGACTAGATGACCCACAGAGGTCCCATGGGTTCATGTGCTTCCTGCCCTCCCCACATGCAGCTCATGGCTGTGAAACCTCCCTCTCACTCACCCCTGAAACTTCTGCCTCTGCCCTGATTACTTCCTGCCTTAATAGCGAATGTCTCTCACACTGCCCGAAACCCCACTCTCAAAAACATCTGTTGTGAGCATTTTCTTTGGCTGGATTCATTCGATGGGAATATTTCTTTGCCTGGGATATTTGGGACAGCGATACATACACAAGTATGTGGCACATCCACTGCATGCTCCCACAAAGTGTAAGGCTCTACCAACACCCTGCCAAAACTGTCTACACATCCCCACCAATGGGTACAGAGCCACGTGGATGGGCACAGGCCCCAATCTGCCTCAGACACCTGAGAAAACAGCCCCTTGGAGGAAATCCTGCTCTGACAGAGTGTCTCTAAGTCCAGAAATCCCAGAAAAACACACAAAATTCTCAGACTCCACCAAAACAAATCTTTCCTGTGGTATGCTGTATCTTAAGCTTTCACTCTGCTCTGTGCCCTTGAAACCATCCTCAGTCTTCTTGCCCCTCCCTTCCCACAGCATCTCTCAGCCTCCTCCTGCCTGGCTCTTCTCTCGCACAAATGCCTAGCACTTAATACTTTGAGGCACGCAGCCTGGCTTTGGCTGCTCTTGTTACAAAGAATAAGAGTTTTTGTCACCTCCGGTCTCCACCTCAGAGCGCACGACCGCTCTGCACTGTTGCGCTGCTAATGGAGAGTTCTGCGAGGAACTGACAAATGATCCCTGCACGTCCTGCCTTGCCAGACTTCTTTTTCAGGGAGTTTTTCCTATTACTGGAGTTTTATTATTAATTATTAATTCTGCATTTGCAGTATTACCAAGAACGAGCATTAAAAAAACCTCCAGAGTTTTATCTTTCCTTCTTCATTTCACCATGAGACTGGCTTAAAAATGGTAACTTTTAGGGACCTGCTGATGTTGGAGTCTTTGTATATAACTTGGTTGCGCATGTTAAGGGTCATGTTTTCATGCTGTTTTCCATAAATGTAAGGACTAGAAATGTGCTTGTGCTTTCCTAATAAAAACAGGTTTGCATTTACTAATCTGACTTAATAAGCTACTACCCTTAGGAAAAACAACAAACACCAGTTTCACAACAAAACTGCAACAGCTGATGGGAGCGCATGTAGGCACCACTTTTTCTCTTCTCCTAGAAACGACTGTTTCAGTCTCAGCAGACACTGTACACACCGCAGCTAGAACAGGCTGCACCCTTTCTCCTCTCAGTTTTCTGCCCGAGCATCCCATCAAAAGATGAGAGGAGGGTACAGACCATGCTTGCAAAACCCCCAGGTTGGCAGTGGGGTGCAACCCCGGTCATGGTCTGCCCCTGGACTCATAAACATCAGTGTATAAATGCAGTCAGCAATAGAGAATTTCCAAGCAAAACCTTTTATGGGCTCTCCGAGGGGTGTTTTAGGCTGATACCCTGACATCGAGGTCATTACTGTGTGTGCTCCAGCAGCCCAAAGAACATAACTGAAGAGGACCTGCTTTACATGTGCCCATTTTTCTATTCTTGGAAGCACTCTGCACTGCATTAGTAACATTCAGCTCTCTGGCCTAGCCAGGAGACACTCCAAGCATCCAGCCCATCTTACGTGATAGGATCCAAAAAGCTATATTTGTTCAGAAGCTGTGAATTGATAGCAGCAATATGCTGAGCACACAGCGCAAAGCTTTACTGCTAGATATTTATCAGTAGAAGCACAGAGCATGTTTATGTGCTGGAAAATGACTCAAATTGAGTCCATCCTGGTGATTTAACACCCCCTGGTAGCTACCAGTATATAGGAACACTGCCAGGCTGTCTCTATACGAAGACAGCAGACCCCAGTCTGCAATTTGCACTGTGCAACTCACCCTGTTTGAACTCTTCCCAGGGATGACAAGACTTACATAGCAATGCTATTTTCTTTAACAGATCATCCCCTTGGATTCGCAGCAGTATCTACACGGCCTTAAGGCATCTGCTAATATGCAAAAGCTAACGCAGTCATGGCAGAGATCATTAGATTCTCTTCTGGTTTGTGTACACATGCACCAGGTTATCAGCAAAGCTGCCACGCTGGCATCGTCGCTGCTGGTGGGAGCTAGGAGAAGGCTCTCCTGCATTTGGAGCAGCCGCTGGATATTGCAGGGCTGGCGGTGAGGCACGCTGAGTGGTATCAAACACTGCACTGCTAATGGAGGTGGTCAGTTCTCCACTTAAGGATTTGCAGTTCATCTTCCAAGGAAGCTCTTCGTGCGATAAATAAAACAGAAGGATCAGTTGTACACTGCATTTAGCTCCAATGGGATTGAAGCCCGCAGGGTCCCGCACAGCTCCCAGGCGGTCAAGCCCTTCGGGAAGCGTGCTGAAGATGCTCAGGATACACGAGAAGCCACGCGCTGTCACACAGCACCCAGCTGCTCGGGTCTGGGTTTGGGCGGTCACACGGAGCCGTAGCACGTGGCAGGGAAATGCTGTGGCGCTGGGCTCAGTCATTATGGGAGCCTTTACTTGACAGGAATGGATGCTTTTCACAGCAGTGGAAGTTGTAAAATCTCTGTCTCTTCCACCCTTTCTGAAAAGCAGGGTCCAGCTCTGCTCTGCCTTCTGTTAGTCAACTCCTGCCACTGACAAGTCAGCAGAGGTTGTTCTGGGCTTATCCCAGCCAAGAGAAGAATCTGGCTTCTCTAAAACCATGCATCTCCAGAGACGAGCCCTGCAAACAGCGCTTCACAATTTCAGATAAATGTTTATAAAAAATAAGCTAAGTTGTGTTACCATTAACTCCCACTGCCTGGTTCTGGTGCTCAAAGAGGAAAAAAAACAGCCTGAAAAATCCAGTCTACAGCTTAAATAAGAGTATGTGATGAATTAGCTGAGTAAAATCAAGCCATAAGGACAATAACAATTAATAGTAAAGTATTCACCTCCCCTCCAGCAGGTATATATGTGTTCGTATACATATATATATATATATATGCACCTTCGAAACAGATCAGCACAGTACTCACTCTGAGTGACATAAAGGCCTTCTGTTGCCTTATCCTCATGCCCGTCGAAGTCTCTGCTGGCTAGCTGCCTATTGGCCGTCTCCAGTCGTTCTGCAAAAAACAGGAAATACTTGAAGTATAAATACATGTATATAAAATTGTAGGCCAACCAAGAAAATAAGATGCATGCCAGCAGAGCAGTATAAATAGACTCTCTGAAGGAGGACATTAAAATGGAGGCTGACACGTACATCAAAGATGAGGCCTTTGACCTCTTCCATGAAGCTGTGTTGTTCAGATTTACAGAAACTGGTGGGAAAGCTTCTGCCATCTGCAGCTGACGTGTCTGAGAAGTTCATCTCTCACGCTGCCCGAAATGCACAAGGCATGTGCAATCTGAATTACCCAGCTTTGCAAGGGGATGGGTGCCTTCCCGCAGTGGAGTGCAGCCCCTGGGGCAGCCAGATGCCCTGGGGGAAGGCACTCGCAGCCTGGTGACTCTGATCCTTGGGGATCCGGGAAAGGAGCAGTTTTCTGCAGCAGGGGACAGATTTCCCCGGGAAGGGCCTGCTTTCAGGTGCCCCCCTCCTCCAAAAACCCCCTCGCACTGTTGCAAAATGCATCACCAGCTTGCAGCAGGCATCTCACTGCCCAAAGACATATCAAAGTACTCCCACCAGGCACCTGGACAGGTAACAGGTCATAGTCAAAGGCACCGTCTGAAGCTGACTCTCATATTTTGCCACAGGATTTCTTTGCCACTGGGGGGGTAACAGCAGTTTTATCTTATGCCAGTGAGCAGGGTCTGATTTCTGAAGAAGTTTATCTTAAACATGCGTGAACCCACTCCTTTAAAGCCTGCCACTCTGGGGCTTGCGACAAGTGGAACATCACGTTGAGCGAGGGGAAAAAAAAAACCCACAGAAGCAAGCACAACATACCACGGAGATCCCTGTTGAAGTCATGAAGTCTCCTAATTTCTCCTTCGAGTTTGTTTCTCATCGCTTTGTCCAGAGACTCCCTCTTAGTAGTGGTCTTGACCAGGCCCTCATACGCTTCTGAAATCCTCTGAATCTCTATTTCAAACTGAAAGGAGAGAGAGCTCCCATGAAAGACCGGCAGGAACGCCTCCCTTCCCAGCATTTGCCCAGCACGTTTTGATGGGGTGCAGGGGCCAGGGCAATGCCCGTGCCGAGGGCCACACCAGCCACCAGCTCTACAATGACCAGTCACCCCAGTGGAGGATGGTGCAAAGCCCCGGTGGTGCTGGAGGCTCCTGCAGCGGGGAGCGATTGCTGGACCCCTGCAAATGCCCCAAGGGGCACCTCGCCATGCCACAACACCCCGCAACACCCTGCCGGCAGCCCTCAAATGAGGTTGGAATGGGCTGCGCTTGACGTATCGGCTTGGTTGCCTTCACTCTACAACCAAGGTGCCTGCTTTAACACCACCCAAGAGGAGAAGCGAAGGAAACGGTGCATGTGTGGACTGTATTCTTTCCTATAAAGGGCTTTAGGAGGCAAGATTTATTCTTCTGAGAGATCCTTGATCCAAAACTTGGCTTTAAGCTCTGTGCACCATCAAAAATGCTTTAGGCTCTGCTCTGACCTCACATCAGTCTTAAACCATTGTGGTCCACTCCTTTCCATCCCTGACCAAAGACTACAAAAAGAAATTACAACAGACCAAACCAACTGGTTTGGGTTTTCAGTCTTCTTAACTTCACCTCCTTGAAATCTGGCAAACTGCAGGCAAGGTGTGCAGAGGAAGCCCTTAGCAGTGAACTTGCGTGCCTGGCCCTTGTGTTTGTGAAGAAACGCTTGATAATGTGCACAGGCTGGAAAACCAAGAGATATATATAGCCTCCCACATAGCTTTCAAAATCTGGTGCTTTTTTAGCCTCTTGAATTGTGGGTGGGACGGATTCGTGATTTGTGAAGCCAGGGTGCGAGCCCACCTCTGCTTGCTGTGGAAGCAGGTCCCTCTCCAGGGCTCATTAAGCTTTAGGTGTAATTTGCCAGCTCCAGCACTTGCAGAATAAAAGCTCCAGAGATGCTGGAGCTGTCAGCCCGCTGCCTGCATAGGAACCTGCAGCCATGCTCCAGAAGCCTGGCCCTGTGCTTCCCACAACTCCAGGGTCACTCTGTCTGGATACAGCCCACAGGCACGCAGCACCTCCGGACCACGGACGGAGGAAAGCCCAGCAGAGCCGTGATGGGAAACCTGGTTACCTTCCCCGATTTCTGCTGTCAGCTGGCTCAGGCACAAAACTGAAACAACTGGTGATGTGCAAAGCCCATGGTGTGGCCCCCATGAGACCAGCACCTTTGAACTAGTATCTTGCCGGGTATCACATCACTTTTCTCATACTGGTGGGGTTTTAACAGCTCGCAGAGATTTCACACACATACAAGCCCCTCCCCTACATGCATGACATTATAAGGTACCATATGTAGATTAGTTCTCAGCTGACAGTTCTCCACAGCTCCAAGCAGAGGATGATCTGTTGAACTGGCTGTATCTCACGCTATGACACTCAGTCTTGGGTGAACTACACACTTAGTCAGATTATTCTGATTCTCCATTTTATTTTTTTGAAGCAGGAGCTTCAGGAAGCCCTGTTACATTTTCCCTAACCATGTCTAGAAAACCAGGTCCTTCTTCCCCACCCTGCTGATGCACAGCCAGACACCAAGCGTGTTCCCACAAGGACAGCACGCTCGGAGGAACGCTGCATAAATCCAAACCTGTTTGAAATTCACACTGAACCTTACTGTGGTTCAAAAAAAGTCAATGAGTTTTATTTTTCTTATGCACATGGCAACGCAAGTTTGTACAAAGCCTCATCAAAAAGTCTGAACTTCTTTGAGAATATGACCTCGACCTACCATGTGTGGTTCTGGGCCCCACAATTTGAGGAGGATGTGAAGGTCCTGGAATGCATCCAGAGGAGGGCAATAAAGCTGGTGACAGGGCTGGAAGGCATGTCCTGTGAGGAGTGGCTGAGGACTCTGGACTTGTCTACTTTGGAGGAGGCTGAGGGGCAACCTCATGGCTCTCTACAGCTCCCTGAGGAGGGGAGGTGGAGAGGGAGGTGCTGAGCTCTTCTCCCTAAGATCCAGTGATAGGACATGTGGGAATGGTTCAAAGCTGTGTCAGGGGAGGTTTAGGCCGGACATTAGGAATCAGTTCTTTACCGAGAGGATGGTCAAACCCTGGCAGAGGCTTCCCAGAGAAGTGGTCAATGCCCCAGGCCTGTCAGTGTTTAGAGGGCATTTGGACAATGCCCTTAACAACATGCTTTAACTTGGTCAGCCCTGAAGTGCTCAGGCAGTTGGACTAGATGATCGTTGTAGGTCCCTTCCAACTGAAACAGTCTATTCTATTCCAACTATGATCCACAATCAAAACTCTGTTTCATGTGAATTTTCCAGAATCAAAATGACATGTCAATTAGTTACTCAAATAACAGCATAGTTTCAGGTACTTGATTCTCTTACAGGTTTTTCTTTCGATCAGCATGACCTCTGCTAGCAGAAATTTTCTCTTCCTATAAGTAGTTAGAGGCTATATTCAAGCAACCTCGCATTGCTCTCCTTGGCCATTTAAGCAGATTTAGCCTCTCTCTGCTTGAAAGAAAGGTTTGGCTCAGCAAAAATAATTTTTTAAGTACTTTCCTGCATCCTTAACTACATGATCCCAACCAGACACTGTGCTCAGCTGGGTGCCCTGACAACTGCTGGTGCCCATGCCTCCCCCCTCCCGGGTGAGCCACTATCTGCAGAAGATGCCTGCTCCAGAGAGCCCCCACCACAGCAAAGCAGATTTGCCAGCACAGCAGGGGGTTTCCATAGCCTGACAGTCCTGTGCAACGCTGCTGGTTACCACAAGAGCTCTGCTCTGCCCATTATCTGCCGTTATTTCCCAAAACACACCACTACGCAGGTCTTCCCCAGCCCTGGAGGCAAGGACTTGCTGCAGGAAAAGAAAGAACCTCCATCAGCACTGAATAAAATTAAAGGAGAGCAGAAGAACAGTCATAAATTGTGTCGGTGTTTCTCAGCAGTTCTGGGATTTCCTTCCCCTTCTTCTATGCAGGGGAAAAAACAGTTCAGCCTCTCTGCCTGCTAGCTCCTAGAGCCGACCCACTCCAACAGCCCACACACACGGCATGGGCAAGAGCCAGCCCAGACTGGCAATTAGGCTTTAGCAAGGTAACACCACCCAAGAAAAAACAGCAGCAAAAAAAGAGAGAAAATAGTGCTTTGCAATTGCAAAACAAGCTCAGAATAAAATGTGCACAACCCCTCTTCCCCCCAATCTTTTTTTAGGTAAGAAAACCAGACAGCTCATCAAAATAGCACAGGGATTAATCACCACCATGTACCTCTCTGCAAAAAGTACGTTCAGACACGACTGAGAATTTGACAAGCCTCGAGGCAGATCTGTTCATACGAAAGCTCAGGGAGCCCTCTATGTCAAGCTGACTTTCTCTAATTTCTTCTTCTATTCTGGAATGAAAAAACGTGATGGGAGGGTGGTCCTACCTAGAATAAACTTGTTACGCACAGACAAACAAGAAGTACTCCTCGTGACACTTCCAACAAGAGGGAAGAGTTCTCATACCCAAAGTATGTAATTTAACTCACTGTCACGTTTTCAGAGGTGATGTTCAGCTGAAAGTGTGGGAATACAGGAGGACCTGCCCTGTCCTTGTGTTCTAACGCAGAAAAAAAAAAGCGTGGCAGGGATACTGTGTGTTAAGGCTTTGGTTCAGGATCTTTTCCTGAAAAAAGAATGCACTTGAGCATGTGTTTTGCTTTAATACTCCGCTCACATTCCCTCAGAGTCAATGGGACTCGAGTGCATGCTCTGTTGACTGAAGTGAGACTTCAGCCCGTGCTTGAATACTTCTCTGTTGGTGACTGATGCAATCGACTTGTGGGGCATCCAAGATAAAGAAAGAGCCGTTTCCAAGAGTGTAAAAGGAAATTGGAATATTTTTAGGGCATCACACTCAAATACCTTTTACCGAACAACGCAGCTTTTGTAAAATTAATAGCTGGAATATTTCTTTTCGCCCATGAAGGCCACAGGGAAGTCAGCGTCAAAATCTTTGCAGACGTCTTCACCAATAGTGCACATTGCTGCAAAAATTTCTCAACTAAGTTTAGGAAATTCTGTGAACAAACTCAACTCATCTGGTTGCAGAGGAGGAGGCTGCAAAGATGACAGCAGCTACAAAACAACAGGTCTTTTTTCTATCCTGTTTGAGCAGATTGTCACAGATTTTTCCCAAAGGTGAGGCTGGGACACGGTCTCTCAGAGCTGCCTCTCCTCCTGTGAAGGGTGTCTCCACGAACACCCTGATCCCACACAGCACAGAAAAAAAAGAGCTCCTATTTAGACTCCTAAATTCAGAGAGAAAAGACCGGCAGCCTAGGCCCATTTGTGCATAAGCAGTGGGAAGACATAAATGAAACAGCAGTGTAGAATCCTAAATACCTGGGCCCTTGGGACCCAAAGCCAGCAGATCTGGGGAGCACCTCTGCACTGCCTTCAGCGAGCTCTCATTTCTAAGCAACTTCTACTTTGTTTGATTTGACTTTTGATCTTGTCACCCCAGGCAGTGCACAAGACATTGCCCTTCTCCACTGAAAATGCCAGCTTGCATACTGAAAAGAGGGTGCAGGATCGCTCTCCAAAAGGATTTTTGAGCAAAACCTTTACCAAATGGTTCTTTCAGATAAGGGGGCAGTGCTTTTTGAACCAACGTGTTCAAAGGTGGGTGTCTACCACCAGCTCTTAGAAATCCATCGAGCAGTCACTGAAAGCCTCTGGGACAACCAAGTTAATGCATCTCCAAATAACGGACAACCCCACCGCCGGCTGTTACACTTCCAAAGAGCATGGAGCACCATGCGAGCATATTGCGGTGGGTAAGACTGCTCAGGACAGATGTGGCCGTGCTCTTCACATGATTCTCACCTGCAGCTCTATCACCTGTGCAGCTGGTGCAGGACCCAGCTGCACCAGGAGCAGACTCTGCCCATGGGAGACTTCCAGGCAAAGCTCCAGTGAGACCAGCATGGAAGGATGGAAAGGGGAAAGTCTCCAACTGAGAGACATGTGATGGGCTGCCCCATTCCACCCTAAAGGCAGGGGAGCACACAGGCCATGGAGCACAGGACTACACTTCTGGGAGACCACCATGGAGGTGGCCACTGGTGTGTCCCCACTGCAGTGGCATCACTATGAAGCAGAGCTCGGGGGACCCAAAGGCAGGAGCATGAAGACAGTTGCCCTGCGCAGGTCTCCTCCCCACCTCTCCACGTACCTTCTGCAGCTTGTCCGCCTTCTCGTAGTACCCCTCCAGCTCCTGCCGCAGCACGTGGTTCTCCTCAGAGAGCATCTCCACCAGCTGCGGTCAGGAGGACGGGGCCAGACTCTGTTCAGGGGTGCCCAGCGACAGGACAAGGGCGGCTGGCATTGTCGGCTGCGGGGAAGGGAAGCGCACGGGGGGAGGCGTTAGAGCCGCGCGCCCTTGAAACGCGCGCAGGAGCTCTCGCCTAATGACCGCACAGTTTATTAACAGGGTTATAACCGCACGGTCGTGACTCCAGTCCTTAGTCGCTCCTAAACACCAACAATCGCAGCAGGGACCGGGTAAATTGTCTCCTCGCCTGCTCTTGACGGTGATGTATACATCTGGCACGGACGGATAAAGGAAGCACTGACTCGAAAAGGTGCACAGCTAATATTTCCGCAGCCAGCCAGTTCAGTCTTCAGTGCCAAGGCAGGCCCTCAGAAATCCCAGGCCCTGGTGGTAAGAGAAGAAGCCTACAAAGAGGATGACTTTCCCTTGGTCGAGGAGGACTGTGTGAGGGATCGCTTAAGTGATCTGGATGTCCACAAATCC